GAGATTAGATATAGGTCTGTAGATTAGATATATGTCTGTAGATTAGATATAGGTCTGTAGATTAGATATATGTCTGTAGATTAGATATAGGTCTGTAGATTAGATATTGGTCTGTAGATTAGATATATGTCTGTAGATTAGATATAGGTCTGTAGATTAGATAAATGTCTGTAGATTAGATATAGGTCTGTAGATTAGATATAGGTCTGTAGATTAGATATTGGTCTGTAGATTAGATATAGGTCTGTAGATTAGATATGTCTGTAGATTAGATATAGGTCTGTAGATTAGATATAGGTCTGTAGATTAGATATTGGTCTATAGATTAGATATTGGTCTATAGATTAGATATAGGTCTATAGATTAGTTATAGGTCTATAGATTAGTTATAGGTCTATAGAAGTGATCCAAGTATAAAAAAAGTACTCAGTGGAATGGCCATCATTGTTTATTGCATATGGCACAAACACGTAACACAGGGCTGTGTTAGGTGTGCACTGAGGCAGTCTCAGTAGTTCTTATTCATACTCAAAAGCAGGTCACCCCAAAAAGACAAGGAATGTGTGACAAATTGTCCAACAGGATGATTACCCCTCTGCTACATCTTGTCCTGATGGTAAAACACATTATTGTGGAGAACAGAAGATAAACAGTAGGAGCCATAAAGTCATAAACAAAGATGAAACACRTAGTCATAGGTTATCTGGTGACATTTAGTTCAACCAAGGGCCGGTCTTAAACTAGTTTCATCTGGGAAGACTCAGAGGTGAAATGGTTAAATCATTTTTCCATCACACTCCTCCTTTTTGATCATAAATTGGTCACTAAACATTTTAGAATAATGATTTTCACTAGCCTAAACACTGATTTATCTAAACTGACAAAATATCATGCAAGGGGACCAAATGATAAAAAAGTGAATACCCCAAAGATCAGTTATGATTTTGGATTTTGAAAACACAACAGACTTGTAAAGAGTTTTGACACCAAACGGATCCAGTTAGTTTCCCAATATTACTGCCCTCTAGGTCACTAATAAAATCATCAACAGAATTAAATATAAATTACACAACATAATAAGAATCACCATAAACTCCCTTAGGGAACTTCCCTTTGTTTTTCATACAGCCCATCAGTGTAGTTCTAATTCATAATGGTAAATGGACTGAACTTATAGAGCACTTTATATCAAGTCCACTTGGACCCCAAAGCACTTTACACGTACAGACATTCAGCCATTCATACACACTGATGGTGGTAAGCTACATTGTAGCCACAGCTGCCCTGGGRCACACTGATGGAAGCGAGGCTGCCATGCACCGGCACCACCGGACCCTCTGACCACCATCAGTAGGCGAGGTGGGTGAAGTGTCTTGCCCAAGGACACAACAACTGAGACAGCGGGAATGGGGGATCAAACCGTCGACCTTCCAGTTCCAGGTCGACTCCCCTAACCACTCCACCACAGCCGCCCACTGGCTCTTTTTAAAAAGAAATAGAGACAAAATGGACGTGTGCTGCTGGTAATTTCAGTTTTCTTCTTGTTTTGTCCCAGCAGCAGTTTTTTGAGGTGATTCCTACGTCAGAACGCCCGCTAGCAGAGCAGGAGTGGTACCACGGTGCCATCCCCCGCACTGAGGCTCAGGAGTTACTACGGCAACAGGGAGACTTCCTGGTCCGGGAGAGTCACGGGAAACCGGGCGAGTACGTCCTGTCGGTGTTTTCTGATGACCAGAGACGGCACTTTATCATTCAATATGCCGACGTACGTATACACACACACACACACACACACACACACACACACACACACACACACACACACACACACACACACACACACACACACACACACACA